GATCAAAACAAAACACGTTCACAACAACATAACTAAGTCCGTAAAGACACTGAACCTCTCCACTACACAGGCAACTGTCTTCTTGCTGAGAAAACATTCCGCTGTCCACTGCATGCTTCTGGGCTGAACCAGGAAAGGCCGGCATGGGTTCTCTTTACCTATGTATCCACAGCGGAGTGGCTTCTGGGATGCTCTCCCATGAGAGGCCCTGAGCATCCTTGCACGCCCCAATTCTAGTCCCAGGGCAAAATGGGCGTATAGTTCCATGGGTATGTAGCTCTTGCTGTACAAGCAAGATGACCTTATTCTGGGCCCAAGGAAACCACATAAACCTGTATGCAGTAGGGTACATGCCTGTAACCCCAGCTCTCCTATGTGGAGACAGAAATGAGGGAACTGTGCAGAAGCTTTTGGTCCAGTCAGCAGAAACATCAGAAAGATCCTGCAGTTCAAACACTGGAAGGCAAAGACCAGCACCTAAAGTTGTATTCTGACCTTCATTCCTACACACACACACAATCACACACACACTCCATGCTTGCCCTCCATGAGGGACACAACCCTCTGGAATTTTAAGCCCAAATCAACACCCTAATGCAGTCAGTAGTTACCACACACTTGCCTGTGCAAATGTACAATCTCGCCATCCACAGATGAACTCATGCTTGCTTGCTTGCTTACTGTATTATACTGATTATTCCCTATTTACTAAGTACAGAGCCTCAGAAAACACTCATTCCAAGTGCCACGACCATTCAGTAAACATACTGGCACCTAAATATTCTCCACACAAAAATATGGTCGTATATAGAAAACCTGAATTCCCAAAAGCCACACAAGAAAATACAAACTCCATACCCGTGTAACTCTCCAACATCAGACATTTATATAACACTGCAAATATGAAAATATCTGCCCCCACATGCACACTCTCACCACCTGACACACTTCGGAAATCCACAAAGAAATCACTCCTCTGTGTTCCAAATGCAGAATCACGGCAACTTGACACTCCAGGGGCTCCTGTCCGTCCCACCAGCCCCCAGCTGACCACACACCTGCCATCCCACGACAAAACAGTACAAATCCTGTTACCGCCCATGACATTCTAAACATGCAAGTAGCCCTACATTTTCCAACAATATTCTCCCTTCTGTATTGCTGTAGTAATATGCACAATTTCTTTAACAGCATCCATATGGAATTATTTCTTGCCCAAGCACATTAATCCAAACACCATGACAAAAATATTCCAACTTCCAAGGGAGAAGACAAAGATAAAATATCCCCAAACCCAAATTATTATAAATAGCTACCCCAAGCCCAATGTTAAAAGCATGTTACCTCACATTGTCTAAATACAATAAACTCTACAGGCTGTCAAAAGGCCTTAATTCCAAATATCTAAACAAACACCACTACCTACACAAGAATACACACGTTAGATTCTCACCACTCATAATCTGAAACTACAAATTCATACATCATTCCCAATTTATATCATAAAAATTACACAGTATATCATACATCCTCTTAATTTCCACACTCCCCAAAAGGTCAGCAAAACCACCACATGTATACATGAGAACAACCACCCCACAATTCTCATGCCTTCCAAAATTAAAACACACAACTTTTCACTTTCTCATACAGTCTCAATATTACACACACACACAATTACGCAATAGTCAAATGCAATTTACTAATAGTCTGTGTAAATTCCTTTTACTCCTCTGGTTTTCACATTATGCTTTTCTTGATTATTGCCACTCTTAAGGTCCAAAAAGTATATAAAAGGCTAAATTTAAGAAACCGGTTATTCAATTGTGAAAAGTCGCTAACATCACTAGTAAGTAATAGAATAATAACATGGCTGGCCGATATTTCTGCTTACACGGACAAGTTTTGTATGTGCAGCGAGGGTGACTGTCGAAAGTTCACCCATTTTCAACAACATGGAAAATTTCTTTCCTTGAATGAGTAATGCTTTCCAACACTTAGGAAGCTTCCTGAGAGCGTGGGGGACACAGATGAGCCACACTTTCAAAGTTCGCACCTCACTTCTTAACTCTGCCCTTCCACACCCAACACACATCAAACGCCAGGCAGCCCACAGAATGATGGGAAGAAGCCCTGGGCACTTGCCAAAACCCGCGGAGTAAAAACTCCCGGGCTTGGCTGCAAGTCCCAGCATCTTCCGGATCTGCTGCTGGGGAAGGTTGATGGGAGGGTGGGAGACAACTCTCCTTTTCCAGGGAGAGAGGGAGAGGGGAATAGGGAGGGAGAACGGGGGACTAGGAGAGGAGGGAGGTGCACCCTTGGGATGTAAAATGAGAGAGAGAGAGAGAGAGAGAGAGAGAGAGAGAGAGAGAGAGA